TGCTGAACCTGTCTTTGCGTAAACGCGAAGGTGTATAGTCTTTCGCAATCTGAATTTTGCTTAACTCACAAAGGATGTCATTATCTCTTTCCTTTAAAGCAGTTTGCCAGAATTTCCAAATTTGTTCTTTTTTGAGGACAAAGTGGTGATGGCATCCAGTATTTCCCTGATGCAGTCTTGTGAAAAAAAATTTTTTTTTTTTGTTTTGGAAGCCAGCAGGAGTCAAAGAAATAAAAGGTCTTCATTTCAAACAAAAAAGTTTTTCCAATTCTGAGCATTTTTCTTTTCATCGCATCCCACTGCACGTTCCAACCAAGCTCTTGGCTTTTCTGCCCCCATTTCTCTTGCCCTTTCTTTATTCTTTTTGCTTGCTTTTTCCGAGGAGGCACCAATAATAGACAGTGAAATCCTCTGCCCACAGGTGCCTGACAAAATGCTCCTGTTCCAGGCAGTCAGCTCCATAAAGCAGCTTGTGTCTTCAGTGCTCATAAATGAAGGCTCTAAATGAATTCTAAAGTTGATTTTAACCTAATCTATAAGAGGCAATCATCCTCCTGAGGCTGCTGGGACCCTGTGAGATTTCCAAGGCTATCTCGTGAGAAGAAGCAGGAGAGTATCATTAACTGTATTGAGAGTCAAGGCGTGAGAGGAAGAGGCAGAGTCCCAGATGCTGCTACAGTGAGCAGAGCAGACAATTCCCTTGAGAGGCACCAGAGCAGAGGCCAAATTTGTGAATTACTAAGATACTTTTAAGGCTAAGGTGCTATGGACTGGTAGCTGGAGAGGGAGCTTTTTAAAAGGCTAATGAAAATGTAAGTATGCGGTCAGAGGTCTTTGATTTTCAGAAGTGCATGAGGTGGAGCCCTTCCCTTCATCTGCTCTCTCTTCTTCAATTTTCATTGTATGTTGAATTTTTATGTAAAACCATTGGTAGTGCAAATTTGTCTGCTTAAGCCTGTTTTATATTTTACTTATTAGGCATAGTGAGAAGGATGTGCGAGGTGGGCTCAAAACTCTCCTCTCAGGCATATTACAGTGTGTTTATCTTGTGCTAATCCTTTCTGCTCACAGAAGAGGGGCCCATGCATATGAAGCTGAGAGTTTTAAGCGCTTTTCCTGAGACTGTACTCATGCTGCTGGCTGATAATTAGGAAGCAGTAGCTTTATGATAGCTCTTTGTTCCCGCAGTGGCCCTATCTCCCTTGATCTATTCCGTTATCTACAGCTGTCTTTACATGGTTACATCACTCCTGCCCGTCAGGAATACATCTTAATCTGCTGCAGTCCTGTTTGTAGCATCTTTGTAGCACCTGACACTGAATCCACCTTATCTGCTGAGCCTACAAAGCCTTTGCTGTGCTCCTCTGTGGCACACCCAAGCAAAAGAAAATAAAGGAAGCCAACAACAGCAGAAGTTGTCAACCAAACAACAGTAATTATTTCTAAATAATTATTTCTAAAGCTCCCATATTGGAAATGTTCAGGTATGTTTGCTTCTGGATTTGGTGACTATAAGCCCTCCTTACTGCTGTCATTACAAATAGAGCATGTATCGCTGCAGTTATCTCTACAGCTGCTCTGCTAATCTGAGTGATAGTCTCAGCTGTACTTACGGGCATCTACTGTTGGTCAGAGTAACCCCATTTTAAGAATCCAGCATTCAAAAACAGTGGGAACAGAGTTGATATGATCCTAAAGGCTATATCCATTTTCAGGCTGAGGTGAAAATCCAGTGACGTGCAGTTTGGAGCTACCCTGACGTACGCTCATGTAAATGAGAGCACCATGGAGCTCAGCAGTTCAGCTAGCGGATGTGGCACAGTTTCTGTTCTGTGCTTCTTCAAAGGACTAGCAAGCAGATTTGCCATTCAATTCATAATAAATTCTGTTTCTTGCATTGGACACTGTGTGTCCTGAAACATATCTCTAGTTTATTCTGCGTCTTGTTTAAAAAAACAACAACAACAAAATAAAATACAGTGTCCTTGTATTGCAGTAAAGCTAGTACAAAAGTCAAGTTGTCAGATTCTGTAAAAGGATTTAAATGTTCTGTCATTTGGGAAGAAGAAAAGCCTGTCTCTTGTTTGAATTTTTTAAACTCGGCTTTAGATAATATGAGAAGAACAGTTAAGTACAGTCATATCACAACTGCAAAATAAGTTTACTCACAACTTTGTCATTGTCTCAGTTCTTGCGTGAAGTCCCTTGTTCATGCTTAAAATCAGCCAAGTATGTCATCAGTCATTTCTTGTATTATCGCAGCAATAAATTTATTGGCACAACTAGAACACAAGACATACTAGTGCTCAAGATGTCTTATTTATTTGAAGAACTTACCCTTCTAGGTTTGTTGGTTTTACAAAGACTTGCAGCGTTTTGATAATTAGCTGCAATGAATAATATGGTGAAGTTTCAATCTTTGCTTGGTGCTCTTAGTTGGAAGAGGAGTGGGTAAGGAAACACATGTGTGAAAGAAATAGGTAAGTTTAATATAAAAAGGAATGGTTCATATTTAACTGGAAACACTAGTATTTTTCTGTAAATTAAAAGAAGATAGAGAAATGCAGCTGTCTCTGATTAGGGAAGACCCAGATGTCGAAGATGTGATGTCTGAGTTATGTTACACCCTCCTAGGAGAGTCTCATTTAGACAGTGGTGGAGAAGGAATTTCATACTAAAAATGACTAAAGGGGCTTGGGGAGAAAAGAGCAACAGAAGTGAGCAATTAACACAAAAAGCAGATATTTTGGTGATTAAATGAGTTTACTTGTGTAATACTTAGAACCTACTGTTAACATAGTATGGTAGAGTTTTCTTTTGTCACAAAAAATCAAGAAGTTCAGTTAGAGTTTTCTTAGTCATGAACATTATCAGAAAATGATTTTTTGTTTCACAAATGTAAGTATTCACAAGAAGTTATTAAAAATACTTAATACAATATTACTTATATTCACCATATCTCAGAAATTATCCAGGAGAAGCAGAAATAAATCCTAAGATGAGAAACAGAAGTAAGTTACAGAGAGAGCTGCTATCATGATAATAGATGTGCACAATACTGAGCTGAGAATATTGAGTTTCATTTCAGCTATTTAGATAAGACAACAAAAATAAATGGATATAATAAACTCTCATGCACTGGAGCACAAGACAAATGCTCATTGATGAGGACAGAAAGAAGCATTTTATATAAAACAGAACTCCAAGAGTGTCTGGCCTAGGGACTCCGGCACTAACTGCTCTCAGAGACAGGGTTGCGGTGGGGACGGACCATTTGTCTGTTCTGCTCCACCAATTTATACGTAAATTTTTGAGCATTCGTCTGATCAGGAAGTAGAAACAATAATGCATGTCTCTTCTGACCTAGTGCAGCCAAGCAGAACATCTAGCATTTCAAATAGGGCTCACATTTGCAATAATATTTGTTCCGTGAATACTTTGAGAATGTAACAGTCTCTCAGGCATGCTAAGAATAAAAAGGGACTACTTTCTGGAAACGATCTGTTTATGAAAGGTTACTATATCAGATATAGGAATAAGAAACAAGCATCCCTTTACACAAGCTTTTCAGATGAACACAGCCCAGATTTGTTATGTTCATTCTTTTCATCTCCTCTTTCTCTTTTTGGCAGTCTTACATTTCTGGGAGCAAAAGTGCCAAAATCACTTGAGGGAAGCAGATTTTCCAGCCTAGATGGCTTGCAAGTAGCACATACATAAGCAAATGGATCTATATTCTTATAAGAAGTTGTTCAGCCCACCTCTGAAGACTCAAAAACGTAGGATAAGTTGTTTTATTGTGTGATTGTTATGGAAGATTACTGAAGTTCTGTCGCAGGCTCTTCACAGTGAGGCCCATCCTGCTCCAAAGCCTTCCTAGCGCATTTGGGATCCTGTCTAACCTCTTAGTCCATCCTTGCACCGCTAGTGTGATCCTTAAAGAACAAGATTAAAAGAAATCTATTTGTGCTTTGGCATTCCTCCTGTTCTCGTTAGAAACTGCTGCACGTACTTGAAGACAAATAACCTCTCTGCGATGGGTTGCCTTGTTCACTTAGGAATAGTGCGTGAAAGGTAAAATACTTTCCCTTGAATCCCTTGATGATCTCCGATACCTTGTGTTTTGCTGGAGTCCCATTTTTTCTAATGCTTCTTTTTCTTTCCTATCTTTTTTGTCTCATAAATTTCTCGCCATACTGAATTTGTTTTTAGATATGTGTGCCAGCCGGAATGCTCCCTTACAAGTTCGGTAATTAAAATAACCAAAGGTAACAGTGTCCAATGTTTCTGCTTCGTTTTTAATGCCTTGATTATGTTAATTTAATGAATTTAACTTCATTAAAGTTTCACTTGCTGGTGCCTGGAAAGCAGAAATTTCAGACAAAGAGCGTGTTTATTGTTGTACCAGACTGTGTTTTTGGACTTATGTAAATTCATTGTCTTCCCTGGAATTTATTCCCATTTGAACTCCTTGAAGTCAAAGCAGAACACAGGCTTTAGGACTCCATTCATCTCTTGTGCCAGCTGTTATCCTTGATGTTTGCCTTATGCGGAAAAGCTGTTGAGATGCAGTTTTTTGTGGGGACTTTTGCACACTGATCCTCTTAATAGATGAAGCAAGCAGGAAAATATCTATACAAAGCTATGATCTATATTCTGCCACAAAGTAAAAGCACAGTACACCTGAAGTTACATTCCTTATCATCGATAAGGTTAGATTTAAGGTGACGGATAGGAGCTTTACAATAAAAAGTAATGGCTTGAAAAATATATGCTGAAGGCCAAAGCTTGCCTCCTTTGTGTTACATAGGTCTGTGAGAACGGAAAGGGTTGGGTGCGAGGGGCAGGCAATGCTGTTGCAGAGCCGACAGTCGTGCGCTCAGGGCTTATTCTGAGGCCTTCCAACATGGCTGTAAGACGCAGTAACTTGTTCTTAAGTAGAAGCCAAGCTAGTGACACAGTCCTG